CACTATGGTTTACACTAGAGGTTAAACAAAAATATCACCAAAAAAAGAAAGATTTCCTAAAATATAAGTCAGAAAAAACGAATGAATCATATTAAGAATATAAAAGAATAAGAACTGAAACTCATCAATTGGTAAGAAAAACAAAAACAGATTACTGGTAAAGATTCACAAAAGAACTAGAGATGGGTTTCTATGGACAACAGAAACAAGTATGGCGCTTCATAAGACAACAAAAAAGCGAAATGAAAGAACTAGTTGAAATAGAACACATACAAGAGGATACATGGGTGACCTTCCTGGTAGAAATGTTTAAAAAACAAAACGAAGAACCTTTACCAGAAACGCCAAATATAATAACTAAGGAAAAGACTGAAATCTCCAAAAACAATGTGAAAGAAGGAATAAACAAATTAAAAAACAGAAAGTCACCAGGAGGAGATCAAATACCAAATGAACTCTTAAAATATGGAGGTGATCACTTTGTAGAACAACTGCAACTTCTTATTAATAAAATAATTATCACTAACAGAATACAGAATACTAGAGCTGCTAAATTAACCGAACGATTACCGGTATAAGTAATCCCCCACCTGTTGGTCAACAGCTAAGGGTGGAAGAACCGACACGTGGTAGGGCACTTCATTGCCCTGGAGCATAGAAATTAACTCCGAAGGCGGAAAAACTAAATTAGCCAACGGCATTGAGATGTGGAAAGCCAGGGGATGACTACCACATTAAAGATCCGTAAGGATATCCTTAGTAAAAATCATCATGGAGCCACTAATGGATAATTTACTTAATGATCATGGAGCTCGGAATCCAAGATCCGGCAGGGGAGGACAATCAGATTTAGAAGACAGGGCCTCTCAGGTCGTCAACAAGGTAAATCCCCGTCAAGCAAATAACTTTATAGCCTTAAAAATCGGAACATGGAACGTACGAAGTTTATACCAATCAGGCTAACTGGATAATGCTGTGTCGGAAATGTGCAGAATGAAAATTAATATACTGGGCCTTAGCGATATACCTGAATCAGGCCTGAATCAGGAAAATGTAAGACCAGAAATGGCACGATGTATTATTCTGGAAACAACGATTCCAAGCACAAACGGGGAGTTGCCATTATAGTTGATAATAATTCTCATAAAGCTGTTTGTAACTTTGTTCCCTACTCTGATCGAGTATTAATGCTGTCTCTAAACTCTCATTTAACACGTAAAATAAATATAATCCAAGTATATGCACCCACTGCAGACAAGGATGAAGACACCATAGAGGCCTTCTATGAACAAATCGACAATGTCTTAAGATTAACTAAAAGACAAGATATAAATATTATAATGGGCGATTTGAACGCTAAAGTTGGCCAAGGAGAAGTGGAGAATTGCGTGGGGCGATATGGACTCGGAGAAAGGAATGAACGTGGCGATAGGCTTGTCGATTTCTGTGTCAATGAGGAACTCATAATTATAAATACCGTGTTCAAACTTCCTAAACGTAGACTATATACATGGAGGTCACCAGCTGACAATAACAACAAAATAGTCAGAAATCAAATAGATTATATTATCGTCAACAGAAGATCTAGAAATTCTATAATATCATCTAAAACTTATCCAGGGGCGGACATATCCTCCGACCACAACCCGGTTGTTTTGTCGATGAGAGTGAAACTAAAGAAGGTCAACAGCCCTAGCACCAAGAAAATCATAGATATAAGACGTCTCAAACAAGACAACACATATGTGGAAACCAAATTTAAAATAAACGAGAGCTTAAGGAAAGTCAAAGAAGATAATGCAGAAACTCTAACTATTGACCAAAAATGGGGAAAAATTCAACATGCCCTTGTATCAGTTGGAAAAGAAACCCTTAAACCACTTAAAGAAAAACAAAACCTTGGATGACAGTTTCTTGACAAATTCTTGAACTCATGGAAGAACGAAGAAAACATAAAGCAAAAGACCTGAATAAATACAAAGAAATTCAGAGAAACATCAGAAAGAAAATTCGAGAGGCAAAAGAGAGGTGGCTCTCCGATAGATGTAAGGAAATAGAAGATCTGGATAAAAAGTACGATAACTTTAATTTACACAAAAAAATCAAAGAAATGACAGGTTCTAGAAAGCGTAAAAAAACGAATATCCTTAAAAATGATAAAGGGGATATTATTACTGATATGAAGGAGAGATTATGTCACTGGACCAATTACATTCAACAACTATTGAATGATGAAAGAGAAGAACTGTCATTAGAAATCACCGAGGATACTGGACCACCAATATTAAGAGAAGAAGTCATCTATGCCATCAAAAACACAAAAGAGGGTAAAGCTACTGGACCAGATGAGGTGCCCATCGAATTATTAAAACTCATCGATGAAGATGTTATTGATGTAATGGTTGAACTCTTTAATCTAATATATCAGACTGCCACAATCCCCAGACAATGGCTGCAATCAACCTTTGTAGCAATTCCCAAAAAACCAAGTTCAACAACTTGCTCAGACCATAGAACAATAGATTTAATGAGTCACACACTTAAAACATTTTTGAAAATAATTCACAGCAGAATTGTTAAAACTCTTGAATATGAGATTAGTGACACACAATTTGGCTTTAGAAATGGTATGAGTACAAGAGATGCTTTGTTCGGCTTGAATGTGCTGGCTCAGAGATGCATGGACATGAATCAGGATATGTACTTATGTTTTGTAGACTTTGAAAAGGCATTTGATAAAGTTCAACATAAAAAGCTTGTAGATATATTAAAAAGCAAAAATATTGACAGTCGTGATCTGAAAATTATATCTAATTTATATTGGAATCAAACTGCCAAGGTAAGAGTTGACAGCCAGTACACCGAAAATATCAAAATACAGAGAGGAGTCCGCCAGGGTTGCGTGCTGTCCCCACTACTTTTCAATGTCTACAGTGAAGCGGTATTTCAAGAAGCGCTCTCAGACTCAATAGAAGGTATATCTATCAATGGAGAAGTTTTGAATAACTTACGTTTTGCAGACGATACAGTAATAATTACGGATAACAACAATGATTTACAGAACCTCATGCAACGCCTTAATGAACGCTGTCATGAGTACGGACTGAAGATAAATTTAAAGAAAACTAAATGCATGATCATGACTAAATCTGCATATGCAAATATCCAATTGACTATTGAAGATACTGCAATTGAGAATGTTAATAACTATAAATATTTAGGAACATGGATAACATCAGATGTAGACCAAACCAAAGAAATTAGGACACGTATTGAAATAGCACGTACATCATTTATTAAACTTAAAAAGTTTCTTTGTTGTCGGGATGTAAGGTTAGAACTACGCCTGAGAATGCTTCGATGTGACGTGTTCTCTACTCTTCTTTATGGTCTGGAAGCTTGGACACTAAAACAAGTTCATCTGAATAAGCTGACCGCCTTTGAATTTTGGTGTTACAGAAGAATCCTACGAATATCATGGATTCAAAGAATGTCAAACATGGAAGTAACTAGAAGGATAGGAAATGAGGCGGAAATAATATTAACTATTAAAAGACGAAAACTTGAGTACTTGGGACATGTGATGAGAGGGCAAAAATACGCATTATTACAACTTATTATGCGGGGCAAAATCCGAGGAAAGCGAAATGTGGGAAGACGAAGAATATCCTGGCTTAAGAACTTAAGGGAATGGTTTGAATGCAGTAGTGCAGAACTTTTTAGAGCGGCAGTCAATAGAGTCCGCATAGCCATGATGATTTCCAACCTTCGATAGAAGATGGAACTTAAAGAAAGAAAAGAACAGAATATCAGATAAATGGAGGAGAGCGATCATGGTGATGTTTTTTAAAAAAGGAAATAAGGGAGACTCCAATAATTATCGAGCAATAAATCTATTAAATACAACACTCAAATTGACAACAAGAATAATCGCGACAAAAATAAACGAACGAATCTCTCTGCAAGAGGAACAGCAAGGATTTCGGACAGGAAGATCATGCACCGATGCAGTTTTTGTAATAAGACAAATAAAAGAAAAGTCGCTGGAATACAACAAACCAGAATATATGTGTCCGATAGATTTGAAGAAAGCCTTTGATAGAGTGAGAATTCGGGACGCGATACATTTATTATATGAAAAGGGAATATCACTGGATTTAGTAAAAACCATTGAGAATATATACCTATAAAGATAACATAGCTATGGTAAGATGTAAAAGAAAACTATCGCAACCTATCAAAAATGAAACTGGCATTAGACAAGGAGTTTCGCTGAGCCCTTTAATATTTAATCTGATAATGGATGAAATCATAAAGAAAGTGAAAAAAGAAGAGGATATAGAATGGGAGAAAAGGAAATAAGGATAATAAGGAGACGATGTAAACTAGTCGTAAATAACAAAATAATAGAACAAGTGATGGGAACTGAATACTTGGGAATAACACTGTCAAGCTAGGGAAAAGTGGAAGAAGAAGTAAAAAAACAAGTGAACATGGCAAACAGAGCAGCAGGATGTCTTAACTACACAATCTGGAGAAACAAATACCTCACAACGGAAACGAAAATCAAGATATATAAATCAACAATAAGACCGATAATGACGTACACAGCGGAAACAAGAGCAGATACGGCGAAAATACAAAGACTGTTGAAAACAACTAGAAAGTCCTGCGAAAATTAACTAACCAAACGCTAAGAGACAGAGTAAGAAGTGTGGAAATACAACCGAGTTGTGGTATAGAAAAGTGGAATGGACAACACATCGAAAGAATGACAGAAAATAGAAATAGTACGAAAATCAAAAGACAAATCGCCAAATGGAAGAAGATCATTGAGACGACCGAGGAAAAGATGGTCAGACAACGTCAATTGAGGCTAAAAACCGAAGTAAAACAGGCATTAAACCTATTTATAAAGTAGAAAGAAGAAGAAAGATGAACTTTTCTATAAATCTCTGCATGCCCTGTACATCTATGTTTAGAAAATGGTATTATGATATCTACATCTTACATATTATAGATCTAAAAAAAATATCAACGAAAGTTAAACGTTTCGCTATATTACCTAACTACTAATTTGTTAAAACAACTAATCTTGTTATACAAAATAAAACACCAAATTGTTAGAATAACAGTAACATGCGATAAATATTCCGATGAGAACAAGTGCCCTACACATGTTCTGCATGTTTTGAAGAATAAACCAGATTAATATTATTTATACAAGTTTTTTTACTCTCCTTCAAGGTTGACGAACTTTGTGGCTGCTTGTAATCTGCGTTAAGGACAACATAAAGATACAATTAAGTGCAGGCGACATCGCTTTCATTCATACATGATGGTTTTTGCTCGATAAACGTTTACAGGGTTTGATTAAAAGTTGATTGATTCCATTATGGAATTAGATAAAGTAAATATAGTATTATATATAGTAAAATAAAGTAGTATGTAGTAGATTAGCTTTCTAATTGTAACTGTGATTAATAAAATACTCATTTTAAAAACATTTGCGGGTTATAACAATTATTTAAAAAAATTTTAAGACATTTTTTGAAAATAACCTCCGGATAAGTGGTCAAAACGTCGAAAAAAAATTCATTGTGGTTTATTCCCATATGCACAATAGATATTTAATGAAATACATGGCACAAGAATATAGTGTAAAAACTATATTAACCCTGGGTTATAGTGTATTTTTATGTATGAGAGAGTAATAAAACAATAAATTATGTATGCAAATCCCTAAACTGTTGATACGGGTGACTCAATGAAAAACAGATATTTGTCAACAAGTTTACAGAAGTATATAGGAAAACAATTTCAAATTGAGTATGACCACCAGGTATAAAGGTTGGAGCAGAATAGAATACAATAGTTGTGAGGGTTACTAATCCCTAAATAAGGTTGCCAGTGTCGGAGTGATGGAGGTTAACAGGTACTAATGAATTTGGAAGAAATGTAAGATGTTTATTTTATTGGTTATATATAACCAATAAAAGTTTAATAAGTACCTACCTATTTGCAAAATAAAGTTTAATTCTTTAAATAAAATAAAACGTTTTATTTTATCTGAAATGAGTGCATTCCACGAAGTAAGGGTTTCAACAATCAAACATTTAATTCTTTTATTCCAGGAATCTACGACAGTAATTGACTAGATAATTACCTTCTAAACTTATTCCACAGAAAATGTGATAGTGGGTTTTTCCATTTTGTAGGAAGGTCAAGTGGCGTATTCAAAATTCTTAACAGTTCACTAAAAGTAGGTACTTCAGTTGCAAGGTGCAGTTTATTGTGTATACTGGTGTTATGGAAAATTTGGAAGTGCCGTGTAAACGCCGAAAAATTGGTCCTTTAACAGTTAATGAAAAAACATTAATATTTAATTGTTTTAAAATCATTTACAGACAAACGTTTATGTGAAAGTGTTGATGAGACCGTTGAGTTAGTTAGCAGTACACTTGGTGTTGGGAAATCTACGATTTACAGAGTTATTAAAGAAGAGAAATGTGGTAGTTTTCAAATGCCACGTAATGCTCCAGGGAAACCAAAATTTCAAATAGAATATTATTTTAAAGAAGGACTTCGACGGAAAGTGCATGAATTCTTCTTTAGACAAGAATTTCCAACATTGGATAAAGTTCTTGTCTCAGTTCGAGATGATAAGGATTACCCAGGCTTCCGCTGAAAAAAGAATTCCAGAAAGTCTATTTTATTAGAAAGAAGCGATATTGTCATATGGAGAAGACATTTTCTAAGAACCATAAAGGAAATGAGAAACCAAAGAAGAAAAATATTTTATCTTGATGAAACATGGATCAACCAGGGTCATACACCAAATAAATTTTGGCAGGATGAAACTGTTACAAGTGGCGCGCTTTTGTAAATAACTTATCTACTAGTTTAAACCCACCATCAGGAAAGGGACGCAGGCTGATAATAGTACACATTGGCAGTTCAGACGGTTTTGTTGAAGGTGGTTTATTAACTTTTAAATCAACTCGTACCGGTGACTACCATGAAGACATGAACGCTGATGTCTTTCAAGAATGGTTCGAAAAAATGATAGATCTTCTTCCTAAGAACTGTGTAATAGTAATGGATAATGCAAGTTATCACTCCAGACTTATAGAAGGACTGCCCACAACCAAGTAGTTAAAAAAAGACTTGCAGAATTGGCTAAGTTCAAAAAATATTACGTACCATCCCGGATCTATAAGAAAGGAACTTTATTCGTTGTGTGCCCTTCATAAAGAAAAATTTAAAAAATACGAAATTGATGAAATTGACAAAAATCGTGGAATGACAGTACTTAGATCCCCACCATAGCATTGTGAATTAAACCGATTGAACTGGTATGGGCACAGATAAAGAGTGAAGTTTCAAGAAAAAATACCACTTTTAAAATTTATGATGTTAAACAGTTGTTTTTGGAGGCCGTAAATAATGTAAAACCTGAAAACTGGGAAAAGGCAGTAAATCACACTATTAAAGAAGAGGAAAAAATGTGGAAGCTGGACCATATTACTGATAAAATGATCGAGCCAGTTATTATAAATATTGGTTCTGAAAGTTCATCTTCTGAATCTGATTTGGATTTATAACAAGTAGCTGTAAGTTTTATATTAATATTTTTAGTCATCTATTTAACATACCTTAGACGGTTTTAAAAACTCTTTTTCTCTTTTGTAATTTTTAAAAATTAAAAAAAATGTGAATTTTTTAAAACCCTTTTTAATGTAGGCCAGTCAGTTCTAATATAGTGTGTGATAAAAGAGGTCACTTTTGTTTACATACACATAACACTTTATAACACTGAAATAATTCATTTATTTTTTACAATTATTCAAAGTAATTTTTCAATTAATCTTGAGCACGGCCATGGAGTGGTCGGAGATACCAGTTAAAATTATGCTAATGACTCTCTCGTTCATAAAAATAAACTATAGTCTGGTCCTTAATTCTAGCGACTTAAGTTAGGTGAGGTCTGGTAGATCCAACTATCTGAAATACAGTAGCTGCAAACTTATATTGAAGATTGTATGTTTGTTTTTTTTTTTAATAAAACAATACACTATAAAAACACACCTGCATAATAGGATCAAATTAATTGGTAACATTATCTGCGGCTTGTCCGTTTTTGCAAATTTTACATGTCATAACGGAATGCGGAATACATATTGTTTTTTACATTCAACACAAGAATATTGCGATTTTCTATTCGATCTTCGTGGGCACATTTCGCATCTCCGTTTCTTAGGTTTTACTTTACTACCGATAGACTCACTCCTGGTGGTAAGTTTACATAGTGAACGAGGTAGTCTTTCGTTTTGTAGTTTTATTTCTTGTTGATAGTCTGTTAACTCCTTTGCAAGTAATTTAATAAAAACACGCCTTTTCATTTTATAGTCATTTGTGTTATTTCGTTAAAACACGAAAGCGTTTATAGCAGCAGTATTTAAGTGGGAGAAAAAAGTGTAAGTGCCCATCTGCGACAATTTCTGGATACATCACACGTTGCTGACAGCTGATCGACAATGTGTACACCTTCCTTTGTGAAATTATAAAAAGTAGGTATATGTGGCTTTTTTTTATTCTCCTGTATTCGTATCAATGGAATCATCATGGTAAAAAGTGGAAAAAAGGACGACGTTTTTGTTTTTTTTTTTGCTCATGTAACTCACTACTGGTATATCATTTTGGAAAGCAAACATACTAGATGACACACTCCAGTTTTCGCTACGTCTACTTTTGTAAAAAGTAGACGTAGCGAAAACTTCTTGTTTTGTCCACCGGTGTTCTGATAAAAAAGCGTACCATAAGATTGTAGCAGATAAACAATTTATCAAAGTTTATATTACGACCAGTTTTACTTACTGCTTCAATTAGACGAATAACGATGTCTTTCCCTGTGTTGCTCTGCTAGAAAAGTCCCTCGGTCAGCTTTCTGACATAAACCTCCATGTTTAGTATGTAGAAACATCTAGTATCTACCAATGCAAACATTTTAAGGCCACACTTGGTCGGCCTATTGGTGAAAAGAGCATTATCCCCGAAAAGATTGAAGCTGTTTGTCGATGGTCAAATACTCGCTTGGTAAAAAAACAGCTTTCGAATTTGATCTCTGATCAGTATAATGATCAGAACTTCGAAGTAGCAAAGGAAATTAAATACTTGGAGGCGATAATCACAGTTGACAACCACATAGAAAAAGAGGTCTCAGTAAGGATAGCTGAAGGAAATAGAGCATTATACTTCCTTTCAACATTATTATGATCAAAGCTGCTAAAACAAAATCTAAATTAACACTGTACAAGTTAATTATTTGCCCAATTATTACATATGGCAGTGAAACATGGACTCTTAACCAGCAGGAAATCAATAAGCTTCCAGTATTTGAAACGAATGTTATCAGAATAATATTTGGCCCTCAAAGAGATGAATTCACAGGGAATTGGAGAAGACCCCGCAATGCTGAATTAGTGATCTGTATGGAACTGAAACCATAGTTAGACATATCAAGGCAAACCAAGTAAGATGGGCAGGTGACTTTGTTTTTTCGGTCGGCACGAGTTTATATGTCATTAAAACGTAGGCAGGCTAAGAGAAATCAAAATCTATATATTGCCATGGCCTTTCTAAAAATCCTAACTCCTGTGTAATCAGTTGCCCAAAGGTCGTCCAAATTTAGACGACCAAAACCAAATAAATAAAGAAGGCCAAATAAATAACGAATTTTTTGATGGTTTGTTTCTTTTACTTTATATTTCTTGTTTTCCGAGTATGTTAAAGAGTTCTCCTGAATCTTCTGTTGGTGTATATGACAATTGCACTGATCATATTATCAGTTATAAAATACGTCCAGCACTCTAATGGTGACTTACCATTCCTAGTTTGTGCTCGAACGCATGGAAAATGTTATACAATATTTTGTCTAAGTATCTTGATGTTAGGACGAGTTCTTATTGGAGTTTTGTACCACTTTGTCCTATTATCTCTTGCAACGTAATATAAAGAACAAT